CTTGCAGTTGCGATAGTTGAATATGTTATATGTGTGTATCACAAGTCTTATTGTGTGAAAATAATCTAAACAATTTGTGAACTCATTATATGAATAAAGTTATCCTTTATCGTGAACCAATTGTGTGAAAACTATATATGATTTCTTCTTGGATTGTATAACGTCTTGCATATGATTAAATGGGCTTTGTTATTTCTCTGTACTTGTGAAATGGGCTTTGAAGTTTATAATATTAACCTTGGTGGGACAAAGTTGCAGACCTTTCTCATTTTCATTTTGACATGTGCAAAAAGGCTTTGGATTAGTAAGACTCATACTGTGGAATTGTTATGATGGGAAACTCATGATTCAACTTCACTTTTGTATGCCTATATTTGCAGGAATGAAACCACATACTCGAAATGATGACATTGCAAAGCTCTTCAGTACTGACGGTTGGACTGAAAACGAAGAGAACTTCCTCGTTGAACAACTTGAATATGCTGCTCTTAATATCCCTGTAAGTTCCATTACAACCTTTGATACTTATTTGTGGCTAATCACTGGGAAGCTGATAGAGAAGTTTAGAAAAAAGTTTTCCATCCCAATGGTAAAACAAAAAGTCATCAATTTCCGGAGCCAATACAAATCATTTTTGGAGTGGAAACAAATCCCAGGCGTATATCACAATCGAAATTCCAACAAAGTCTTTGTCGACGGAGTGTACTGGCAATCAATCAGAAAGGTTGGTTTGATCCTAAATTGGTTACATTTTTCATTTTTCATCCTAATGTTAACAAGACTTTTGGTTTATTTTTCATTAAACTTTTATTAATTTTTCAGGAAACTATGGAATGGAGGTTTTTCAGAACCTACGGGATGAAACATTTTGAAACGGCAGACTTATTGTTCAAGACAAAGAATGCAACTCCTATTTTGTCCCTCCCTGCTAGATTATTTTAGACAATAGTTTGACTTAATCTTCTTTTTCTTTGACCACAACTGTTGTGTGGAAATGTATTAGGATTGTAAGGTTTTGAATTAGTATGTGATGAATGTGGGTTGCTACAATGACCTTATTTTGTAATGATAACAGTTTGTTCATTTTGCTATATATGAGAATGGATGAAATTTTATTTATACTTGGATATTGTGTTTGTACAGGCATGGGAGCATGTTCCGGGAAAGAAAATGGGAGCAGACATGTTCCACTCTGAAGATGGTGGCAGTGATGAATCTGGACTATCTCAACAGCTGGCGTCGTGACCACCCGTCTTGATGTAAGTTTTTGCTAAAACCATACTTATGTATTGTGTTTGAGCATAATTTGTGGGCACTGTTATGTGATAAATAATTTGAATTTATTTTGAAAGACAATAGAACTGAAAAAACATGTTACACTAGACATGAACCAACAAAATTTAAAGAAACAATTGTCCGTCTACAATTAAAGAAACAAGGTTGGATTTACAAAAATATTTTTTAGGGAAGGGCTCTAACTATATACTAACTCAAATCACAAGACAATGTGATAGTGTTGCAGGCATGTAATAACACAACAATGGCTCACAACAAAAGTGTTGCACATTACTAATTCTCAAACAACAACAACTCATCCAAAGTTAATACATAACCTACACATGGAATTTATTCAGACTCCATACATTACCATTCAACCTTCAGGTTTGTTCATTAAGACATATTAGGAACCTAGTGTTCATGTCACTCGAAAAAACAAATGGCCTGCAACTATTGTCAATACTTACCATCGTTAAAATACCATACAACAATGATCAAGCCCAAAAGGACAGCGAAAACACAAATCTTACTCCCATGAATTCTTTTTCGATTTAATGAATCTAATAGCTCCAGAAGCTCCACATTTCGAGCTTTTACATCTCTTAGTTTTTTCCCTTTTTATCCAACTTGTGAGTTAAAACTTCCAACAACGCGTCCTTGTTTTTAACTTCTTCCTCCAACATCAACTTAGTTGATCTGAGGTTTAGGTAGCATGCCTTCTGAAAAGGAGGTAGTTCATCATCCAACCATTCAAAGAACTCACAATCATTCGTCTACAATAAAAGAAAGACATTGTGTTAAATTTTTTTTTTTGGACTGAACGACCATAACTATATTATCACACCATTCATAACTCCGTTTTAGAATTAAATTACAATGACATTGAAGCCAAACTTACATTTCGATATTTGCATCTATAGTATCTCCTACACGGATTTTTTTCTGTGTTGGACGTTAAAACTTGAGCTTCCTCTCGATGTAAACACCTTCTTGTCGGAGGTTGGTATCTGTTGAAGCTGTGAGACGGTCTTTCGGACGAGCTATTTCTACCACTATCTCGGGACATTTTTTGTGCAAGCTAATGTTGTGTTTGAAAGAGAAGGCTGAAAATGTGATGTTGTTTCAGGAAGATATAACTTTGCCTCATTGGTACATGAACAAAGGCAACAAGACTCTCTGCCCGAGGAAAGTGCTCTATTTTGGCCTATTATCCAGGTAAGTGCTTTATTCTAGGTCTCTATGTTGTCTTAATATGCAAAGAATATATTCTTATTCCCTTTCATATCCCCATTCATCAATCATTCATATGTCATACATGAATATATTCTTATTCTCTCCTACTCCCCCTGAACTTGCCATTAGACTCATTCATACTCATGTCATACATACAAAATACAAATTGAATGTGGAAAAAAAAGTAAGATTAGCAACGTAATGAGTGTGCATGGAGGTTTCAATTTCTGGTAGATGGAATATATTCTCCTGACAAAAGATAAAAGTGAAGAAAAAATTCAACAAAGTTATGAACACTTTCAACAGAGAACCTATGGTTTGAGATGCACTCACTACTAATATATATATTCATGCAGATACAGGCTATTTCAATAAGAAGCAACAAAGCAAGATTGTATTCTAAAGTACAAAACACTAGTGTTCTAAACCATTTTTCTGTAACTCAATGGCTCCCAAGAAAAATTCTAAAGTTGCCGTTTCACAAAGCAAGGTTTTTTTTTTTTTCGGGGAATGGAGTAAACAAATTGAAAGAATGTTCGTCCAAGAGTTGGTTCATCAAGAAGCTGCGGGAAATTTCAAGGTTGGCCGTGTAAACCATCACACTA